TTTTTTTTCTTTCTTTCTTTCTTTCTTTCTTTCTTTCTTTCTTTCTTTTCTTTGAGAGAGAGAATTAGCTGGGTACAGGGGCAGATGGAGAGAGAGAGAATCTTAAGCAGGCTCCACCTTCAGCACAGAGCCTGCTGAGGGGCTCGATTCCAAGACCCAGGGATCATGACCTGAGTGGAAATCAAGAGTCGGACACTGAACCAACTGAGCCATCCAGGCACCCTGCTCCTTCTTATTCTTACTTGATTTATTGTCTATTGTTTTGCTTTTAAATTAAATTTTCTAGAAATAGGGTCTTAACACTTAGAGGCGGTTTCAAACATCTCTTTAGTATGCATAAATTTAAAAACTGAACCAAAGTCTGACATTTTCCTTTTATTTGTGCCAATCAAAAATGACAAGAGAGGTAGCTGGGACTAGAAACATCTGAGAGGAAGGGGAGTACAGAAACAAAAGAAAAGGAAACGCCCTGGTCAGTGACAGAAAGTCCGTGTGTGTAAATGCTAACTGTTGAGAGCAGGAAATCAGAGTCTGTACCAAGTCTGGAAAACATCTTCCTAAAGTGAGAACATATATCAAATAACCTCATTGTTTCTGCGAATATAACATGCATTTCAAAATACTTTCATGCTCTCTCCTTAAACTCTGAAGACTGGAAAACACATACCAAATTCCCTGTCTAATATTATAATTTTAACTGGAATTAAGTTCTTGTCAATGACACCTGGAACAAATTGAGGAGAAAAATGGAATGGTGAAAGACAACCAATCAAATACATTTTCTAATAAAAAGGAAGAATATCAATATGATTTTCTACAGATCTTTCCAGCAATTGGCATAGTGCCTACCTGGAGTTTGTTGAATGTAAACGAGTATTTGGATTAGATTGGGAGTATGATACCAGAGAGTTGAACAGGGATTACAGTTCACACAGTACCTTTGGTTGGATAAAGTTGGGAAGAATAAAGATCTTTTGCTCATTTGGATCATGCATTTCCCAGTCTCATCCTCGCCTTACTCTTTTGTGTGACACTGTATCACTCTTAAAATACATCACAGCTTTCTGGAAGATTTCCTTCTTTGGCTATTACCATTTTACACTGGTCATACGGATGCTGGCCTACTCCTCATTTATGTCAGAGTCATTTCATTTGATGCTCTAGACTTGGGGAAGGTTCTCTAAAGATGCTCTGGTCCAAGAGTTGCAAATTGGCAACTTTCAGATAAAATCTGGCCCATGGATATACTGTTTTTGTTTGTAGTGCTAAAAAAGTTTTGAATTAAAAACATTTTAAGACAGAGCAAATGTCCTCTGACTTAATTACTATCCCTAATGCTGTCTATTATTTACAACTGGTCTATTTCACTTAACTCTGTATCTGATTCCAACAGACATAGGTATTTGTGATCCTTACAATCTCCTTAATTTAGCAAAGAGAAAACTGAAGGCCAGAGAAGGTACATGACTTAATGGAGCTATACAGTTAGTTATCAGCAGAGCTAAGACCTGAATCTGACACAATGGAATCCAAGATCTAGGCTTTTTCCTGGACTAGGCTTCACTAAGTAACCATGTATCCCAGGAGGAAGTGTGTCTATTTGCATTGGTTATTAAACTGGGTAATATCTGGGCTTGTTTTTAACAGAATTTTTTTTTCAGTTTTGAAGCATGGAATTATGTTTTTATACTTTTAAAATATATATAAACTACAGAAGAAGACTGTAAATCGTTGCTTTTATAAGAAGATAAACTCAGAAAATATACAAATTGAATTTTTAAAACTATGAAACTAATAAAACTTAAGTTAACATTGTAGATTTACAGGGAAGATTATGCTTTTCTGCTGCAACTAAAGTTTCAGTATTGGGTATTCTTGTGGAAATGGTCTCAGATTCTATCCTATATTTAATGTTTCAGAATTTTGACTTTAATAATTCTAACGTAGAAAATGCTTATTTATATAAATGTATTGAAGAGAGTATTAATGACTCCAGGGTTCTTTGCTAGTTGGGGTTATTCAGCTCTACTCTTCATCTAAAAACTCCGCTCAGGAGTAATCCTCAGATGCTATTTTAAATGAAATGTTGCCTGATAACTGAGCCAACTTGTCTTGTTAACTTGAGAATGAAGTTAGCATCATGGCACCACTGAAATCTGCATTAAGTGAGTATTAAATCAAATTATTGCTGGAATTTTGTGGAAAAAAGTCTTTGCTACCCCTTTATTGCTGTTGAATAAATATGTACAAAGACAGAACTCCCACAACAGTCTGTTCCAAATTCAGTGCTTATTGCTACAGACCAGTGTCATGGTTTGAGTGTTTGTCTCCAAAATGCCTATGTTGAAACCTATTGGCCGATGTGATGGTATTATGAGGTGGGGCCTTTGTGAGGTGATTAGGTCATGAAGGTGGTGAATGAGATTAGTGCCTCTTCATGAATGAGATTAGTGCCTTCATAACAGAGGCCCCAGAGAGATCCTTCACTCCTTCTGCCATGTAAGGACACAGAGAAAACACAGCAGTCTCTGAACCAGGAAACCAGACACAGAATCTGCTGGTGTCTCCATTTTGGACTTACCAGCTTCTAGAACTGTGAGAAGTAAATTTCTGTTGTTTTTAACAGTCTGTGGTAATCTGGGATAGCAGCCCAACAGGCAGATTCACCTGTATTTAGCTCCCCTGTATTGTTATTTCCTAAAGGATGGAAGGATTCACAATGGTTTGGATATAGAAGTCCTTGGTGGTCATCTGGATGGTCAGAATTGGCATAAATTAATGGTTTGACATTGTTATCAAAGTGAAAATGAAAATTTAAAGAACAATGAAGCAAATTCATGAAGTCCCAAAGTACATACGCAGATATGTACTCAGGGAAAAGAGCCCAGGATAGGAAGTCAGATTCCCTTCATTTCAGCCCTCCATCTGTCACTAATTAGTTGTGTGACCTTTCCCAAGAAAACTTATTCTCTTGAATTCCAGTTTCCTCATCTGCAATATGAGGTAATTGAACTAGATAAACTTCAAATTCCTGAAAACCCCCAATTTCACAATGTGTTACAACTCTATCCATGTTTACACTTGTTTGCATCCTTTCTTTGCAATTCCACAAACCAAAAACCTAAGAGAACAAATTCATCTTTTAGTCAACAAAATACTATTCTTCAAATGTATTATACACATCTTCCAGAAAAGCCTTTATGTTGATGCTAGAGGGCAGATAATCTATTTTCAGACTGTCTTCCAAGAGGGTACCTCAAAAGTTACCATGGAGGGGAGAAGGGTGAAAAACTAGGGTGTGGACTCTCCTCTCTAGTTCAAAGAATGGCTTCTCTTACATCTGTTTTCATATTGTGGTTCCACATGTAAGCTGAAAACTTATTGGATACGTCTTTTCATTCCCTTAGATTCTCCTGAAACCAAGGCTTCCTGGGTCATGGGTCATCCGCTGCCTGCTTTGCCTCAACTGTGACTTTGGCTGAGGGTCTGCTTTTCATCCCACCATCATGACCGATGAACTGTGCTTGAGTCCTCATGGAGCTTCCATCTAGGACTGACTCAACTTTCACTTGCCAAAATAAGCTGGGCACTCCCCTTGGCTGCCATTGTGCATCTAGGCCTAATGGCCACATGTCCCAAGTTTCTGACTTCTAAGACCACTTCCTCACTTGGATGACAAGCCATACGGTGGGTCGTGGGATCTGGTTCCCTGATCAAGAGCCAGAGAAACAAGATGCAACAATAGCCTTCTGGTGGGGTGAACTTAGATTAATGGAATAGGAGCTGGGAAGATAACACCCCACAACACTCTCCCTCTCACAGACTGCTTCAAAGGATGATTCTCCAGATTACCTGTCCACATGTGGCCAGGTGGGTGCATAGCAACCAGCTCTGTCTCTGAAACTCAGGAAACAGTGGCCATCCCACCAATATACTGCCTTGCATTGCCTCCTACTCTTCCCTGCCTTATGTTTTTTGTCTCTCACTCTCAGTGCCCGGGGTTCTATCTCCCAATAAAGCATCAGAACTTAATCATTGCCTCAAACTCTCTTTTTTAGGGAGTTTGGCTAATGTGAAAACCATCGACACAATTCAATCCCCTCAGTAACAGATGTCTAAAACACAAACCTAACTACACCCCTCCCCTAGGTTCCCACCACTTCTGAAATATCCTTAACAAGGCAATGGTGCACTCCATGACTTACCATCAGCTGTCGTTTGCTGACTCACACTTATGACTCAAGTCATTGCAGACAGCTGATGATTCTCCCACCATCCATGCTAGGGCGTAGCTCTTTCTTTGTGTTTGGATAAAGCAACCCTCTGCCTGAGCTGATATATCTATCTTTGCTTGCCAAGTTTAATAATTCTCAATGAAATAACCTGCAGTTGTCTTTCTCTGCCAGTATCCTGAGACTTCAATGGCAGGCGTCTAGCACAGCACCCAGAATATAGTTGGTGCTTTGTAAGTATTGAAGTACTTATGGACAATATGGAAGTGAAGAGAGGTCCAAAATTTACCCACGGTGACAGTAGCAGACCAGGGCTAGTGTGTAATGTGCCCATTCTACCACCCTAGAAAGGGGTTTGATTTCTTTTCAATACTTGTTTCTCTCACTCATTAACCCTTTTATTCATGAACTACTTAAGTGTGTCAGGCCTCTGTTATGTATCCTCTATTAGATTTTAGGAACTCAGTCATTCTAAGCCCACTAATTTCTCATCTCCTTTTTCCCAGAACTACCACAGACTCAGCGTGTTGCCTTGAACAACCTCTGCGACCAGGGGTTCAGAACACCAAAGTTTTAATAAAGCTTATTCATTAGCATTGTGCTATTATGCAAGTCACTTAAAGGTTTTGTACATCAGCTTTGTTCACTTATAAAATGGAAATCAATTTTTTTAAATGTCTCCTCTCGGGGCGCCTGGGTGGCGCAGTCGGTTAAGCGTCCGACTTCAGCCAGGTCACGATCTTGCGGTCCGTGAGTTCGAGCCCCGCGTCGGGCTCTGGGCTGATGGCTCAGAGCCTGGAGCCTGTTTCCGATTCTGTGTCTCCCTCTCTCTCTGACCCTCCCCCGTTCATGCTCTGTCTCTCTCTGTCCCAAAAATAAATAAAACGTTGAAAAAAAAATTAAAAAAAAATGTCTCCTCTTTGCATAGAGTTGTAAGAACACAGGAGTAACAGATGAGCAAGTACTTTGAAAAGTTGAAAGTACTATTTAAATATAATATGTGGTTTTATTATTGTTATGCCTTGGTTTGATGTTGGAAAATTTAAAAACTTACTATATACTCTGAACCCAGCTCATCAATCCATCAATCACTAGAAGAATCAAAACAGACTCGAAACTGAAGATTTCAAAGCTACTTTCTCTCATTCCACAAATGGGGAAATTGAGGCTCAGAGAAATTTAATGATGGCAAGAACTTGAAAGTTTCCTGGCTTCCATATGAAAGCTTAAAGTTCTTTGTGCTTTTAAAAAACTGTATGCATTTAGTCACATGAAAGAAATATGTCACATTTATTTGGTAACATTTCCCCTTAAGAGTACAGAGTAAAATTTCAGTGCTCTTACCATCTTTTTTCTCCTCTGTCCTTCTATCTGCCATGCCTGAACTAGTGACCAGTGATATTCCTCCCAGATGAAATAGTCTTGAGCTTAGCACCCTGCACGTATACATGTACATACGTGTGAGAACACTGGGGTGCAGGAGTAAATGTTAGGACTATTGGGATTTTTTTTTTAATTTAAAAACAGGGCAAGAATCAAGCTTTATAAATGTTTAATATATGCATTAACACAGGCGTCCCATGCATCAGGTATGTCACTTATGGCCTGTAAGTATTTTAGGAAAGAGTAGGAACTACATAACATAGAGGGGTAGACAGTGGCCCCCTTACTTGCTGACTTGCTTTCACCGAATTGCAGTTCATATATGCCTTGTTAAATGGATTTACAGATTATATAATCTAGTTTTAACTGAACTAATCCTCACAAAATGGACAATTGGCTTTAAAAGATCCCAGTAAAGAAACTGTGGATTGAAGATAATGCTAATTGAACAAGCACCAGTGAGCAGAATGATAAACAAGAATCTGCAGAGACACCACTTCTGCTCTTAGCTGAGCTCTATGTCAGCCACATTCTGATTCACAAACCAATGATGGTCTAATCAGATCTAGCAAGAATTCAGCCCAAACAAACCCAAATTATCAAGACAATGTTTGCAATAGAAATTTACATCTACGTTGACAATAAACTTGTTCAGTGTGTGCTGTGCCTTGAAGTATTAGCTAATGATATTATAAAGCCATCATGATTAGCAAGACATTTGAAAACAAAGTCTTCAGAATAGGAAGACAAGCCTCTATGGATTTTCTTTGGTGGGGGTGGGGGGTGGTAATTTAAAAAACAACAACAACACATATTTTACATAATTGTGACCAAATGTAACAATAACATTATGAAGCTTTTTGAGATTTTGTAATATATGAGAACCCTTTTACATTAGTAAGACTAATAACACATGATATATTACAAAATTTTATACTATGGATCAATATAATACACAATTCCTTAGAATGTTTGCATTTTCAGGACTTCAATACATAACCACTAACGTGTTTTCAAGTTTCACAACTATGCAGTTTTTACACCATCTCTGACATTACAAAATGCTCAGGCTGCTCTTGCTTTTCTGTTGTTAGAAGTTGTCACTGTTTAACTCTGTTTGGGGAGAGTGCTGTATTAGAGCAACTTGTGACAATCTCCATTGCCTGACATGAAGGTAAACTATTTAATATACACACAGTGGTGCCTGAAAGCTGTCTTTGGAAACTCTGCCCACTGCATAAGAAACACTGCATTGAGTATGAACTTTTGGAAGAAGTCTTCAGAAGAAAAGAATAGTAACCCATGCAGGAAAATAGATTGAAATCTTAGGTTGATTTTATGGAAAACCAAGACAAGAATCAATGACACATTCCATTCTTTCCTTAAATATGATCGATCTCACTAATGAAATATTTCACTCAATCCTCAGTGAGAAAAATAGTGAAATATAATGATTTCATGAAAAAACTCTCTTCAGTTTAGAATTTTCTGACTAGCTGTCTTTGTGCTTTCAAATTAATAATGCAGGAGGATTGTTTTCGTTCTATGTAGGAAGTAAAAGAATTATTGGAGAATTGGTATCATAAATAAGAACCTATGCAAATCAGAGCCTATAGAGTGTCAAATGCACTGACCTTCAACCTTCAGAGAACATTAATTTTGTTAATATCCAAAGTCAAAGGCTGTATTCCCCATTTGCCATGCTATACCGGAACACACATATGTGTGCACCTACACATCCCACGTTCTGTTTCCTTTGGCATTACACACAAGAGTCACAGATTTATTTTTATGGTTGTAGATTCTGGAAGCATTTGTTCTTCATCCAGAACTTGCCCATTTGGAATAAGTTTTTCTTATCAAACACCATTAATAAAAATTTTGTTGAAATAGATCTCTCTAGCGAAGCTTACATCTGTAGCACGTTGTTCTCATGGGCAGGACCAACTCCTCAGCCCCGATAACAATGCAACAAATAAAGTCAGTAGCAATTCCCCAACCGAAAATATATGTACCCCAAATCAATGCCACTTTCAAGATAAACAAGCATTTTGCACACTAATAAATAATGCCATAAATCTTGCTATATTGGGTTGCAAATAACTCCAACTGAATAAAATTGCTTGACACAGGATTTACTTATTCTGCACGTTCATAAAAACAACTTGTTCTCTGACAGCACTCATTCTTGGCAATTTACCGCAGCTGTCAGCAGCCAATTTGTTCAGATTACTGCTCTGCATAAAAGTGTAACAATCATGAGGATTTATTAGCTGATTATCGTAAAGGTGGCAGTCCGTCTTGCCTGCCAAAATGCAGGTGATCAGAAAGTTAAATAATTACATGCAGATTAACATTATTTCACCTTTACTTGATATTTGTAGTTCAGCGACAAGTAAAATGTGTTGTTCAAACTTGCACTATTGTGTAGACCACCTGAGTTGGTTTATGGACTACCTGGCATTTTATTGAGCACTTCATGGCTTCAGAACATACTGGGTTCAAGACCAAAGTGAAAGGAGTGTGGTCTTTAGAGCCAGGAGTTCTGGATTTGAATCTCAGATCAATCACCCAGATGCATACTAGTTGAGCAACCTCTAAATCTATCTTCTGCCTCACTTTTTGCATCTACAAAAATGGCATAATATGAACGACTCTTGTTATCCCCTAAAAGTGAGCTAATGTAATTGTGCCCTATTCATTGTAGAGCACTGTTACTATTGTTTCTTTCTACTCATGGTAATTTCATTTTTCTGTAAAATTTACCTACCAGGGGGCATTAACTCTTTGGATATAATAATGATGAAAAAGTTATAAGTATTGGGTAAAAGTGTAGACTACTTTTAAAAAAATGCAACAATTCAGTATTTTTTAAGTATAAGTATTACTCAGGAACTTTCACCTTTAACTCATGAATTCTCCCCTTTTGGATTATATATACATAGCTTTCTTCAATTACACTGAAATTTTATACCTGCCACTAAGTCATACTGTTCTAATTGCCTCTGCATTGATGCCTATTGTTAAATTATGAATTTACGGTTAACCCTTGAACAATATGGGGGCTAGGGACACCAGACCCCTGGCACAGTAGAACTTCTGCGTATAACTTCCGACTTCCCCCAAATTTAACTACTATAGCCTACTGTTGACAGGAAGCCGTACTGATAACATAAATAGATGATTCACATATATTTTATATGTTATAGGTATTATATGTTATATTCTCACAAAAAAGAAAGTGAGAGAAAGGAAAATGTCATTAAGAAAATCATAAGGAAGAGAAAATGCATTTATAGTGCTCTACAATATTTATCGAAAAAAAATCTCTGTATACGTGGACATCTGTAGTTCAAGCCCATGTTGTTTAAAGGTCAACTGTACCGAGAGAAGGAAGAGCCATAATTTTCAGCCATAATTTCATAATTTCATAATTTTAATCAAACTTCAGATCTTTAAATTAAAATCTGGCAAATATTTATTAAACACCTATTATGTGCCATATACTTTTCTAGGCATTGGGAATGTGACAGTGAACAAAAACAAAACACTCAAAACTCTTTGCCTTCACGAAGCTTATATTCTCTGCCTTCACGAAGCTTATATTCTAGTGGTGGGAAATAAATGATAAAACACATAACTGAAATGTATAGTAGGTCAAATGGTGGTTACTTCTATGGAGAAAAACAAAGCAGGATAGGGGAAAGGGGGGATTTAAATAGGGTTGGTATGGATGCCTCCCTGATGTGACATTTGTACAGAGGCCTGAAGAAGATAAAGAAGCAATCCAGGTGGATATCTGAAGAAAGAGTGTCACAGATGTAGGGGAAGGTCCTCAGGTGGGAGGGTGTCTGGTGTGCTTGAGGAAGAGCAAAGAGGCTGGAACAGAGTAGAGGGAGAGAGGGGCGGAACAGCAAAAGTTCAGGGTAGAGTGGTAATGGGGCTGGATCATGAGAAGCATTATAGGCCACTATAAGGACTTAGCCAGGTTTTGCCCAGATTAGGATGGGAAAACGTTGAAGGGTTTTGAGCAGAGGAGTCAAATTATTTTATTTGTTTTCTGTGGAAGGAAGAACACGAGGCTATGGCTATTGTCTACATGAGAGTTGATGGTAGCTTCAACCAGAATTATTATGCTCAAGATAATGACAGGAGTGAATTCTGAATACATTTCGAAGGAATCTTTGGTAGGTTGCTGACGGGTTTGATAAGAATGAGAGAAAGAAAAGAAGC